CATTTAACCTATAATTTACCGGTAGGAAAAGTATACCCCTTGAAGTGGGAAAAACGACGTCTTCTAATAATTAAAAATTATTTATACAATTTCTCAAGGATTGGTATATAACTGCTAGGAATCATCAAGGTGGTTTCTTCCGGTCTCAATTAAATTGAATTGGTCAATTAATGAGAAAATGAAAAATGAATTATTTTAATCTATATTTTATTGTACAAGTTAAAGTTAATTTTTTATTAAATTTATATAAAAATATAAGAATTAAAATTAATTTTAATATTATTTTTGAGTAAATAAATTTAACTAAATGTTTGATAAATTTAAATTAAATATTATTTTTAATAGAAATTTATAATAAAAATTATATTTATCACTCTAAATTCTAAAAGCATTGATTTATCATAAACCATAGAATTTATTTATTTTGTATCCATAATTATTAGTGAAGTGCATCTTCACTTATTTATATTTTCAATATAACACTTCTATCACACTCAGAATGTGAACTCCAACGAATGGTCATATTTTAGGGAATATATTAGGGAAGACTTAAAAACCAAGACCGTCTCACCGTGTTTTTTTTTTTTTTTTTTTGGCACTTGGCTTCTTAGGCAAGTTAGAGAGTGCACCCTTTCGCCATCCAAGAGCTGGGTTCCATCGCTCTAAAATACTTCGAATTTTCTAGGGAAATTCCTTGAACCAGCTCTTGCTTTTTATACAGGACTGACGTTGCCATGTTCTAGGAGACTTTCAAGTCAACGGGCATTTTGGTTTTTTTCCTCCGTTAAGGGTTAAAAAAATCTAAATGGAGAAAAAATACGGAAATTTTGTTTTGCCAAATTAAATTAAAACATTAACTGAACGATGTAATTTTACTTCTATTATTAGTATTGGGGAGATCTGAAAATGCCTTTTGGTCAGTGAGAAACTGTTTAAGTATTATTTTGGGGAAGGGAGATATTTACTTCCAAGAGTATGTAAGTTCATTCCATGATGAGAAAAGGCAAAGTGTATTGGAAAAAAAAAGTGTTACCACACCTTGATGCCATCCTCTTTCTATCCTCTACTGACTGTATGGCAATTTGCTGAATTTCTTGCCCAAAACCTGGAAAACCATTAACCACTTCTCCAGAATGACATCTTATTGGGATTGACGGAACCGCCTCTTTCCCAGTAACACTAAGATGAATTGGTGGCACTGTCACAACACACAAATGAACCTTGCCATCAGCATTCAGTCCAGCATCCTTCTCACTAACTGCAGATATTGTTGGATACAAGGAAACCTCAAATTTCATGCCTCGACACTCCTTTTCTGTTCTCAAAGGTTCATTTTCAGGACCAGATAATTTGGAATTGCAACTATTGTCTCCCATAGAAAGTTTACTAGATCGTAACACCATTCCACATTTTTCCTGATTAGAATAACCAGATCCCAGCTTTATGCCTTTCCCATTCCACATTTGCAGTATTTTCGTACACTACAATCCTCTCTCGTCGCTTAAATGTTACACATGACCGAAAACCTCGAATTAACGGAAAGTTTAAACTCTGTTAACTTTAATAGTTTGTCTGAATTGAGGAAAGGAGGAAAAAGGAGAGGGAAAGAAAAAAAAAATCATTCTGTTATAAAAAAAAATTAAAAACAGAAAGAGAAGGAAAAAAATTTTAATTTATTTTTTCTTAAATTTAGTCATTTATTAAAATATATATATATAGAAAATAAAAGAATTTAATTTTTTCCTCTTCCTCTGCTTTCTATTTCTTTCAACTAAAATATGGAATAAAAGATTAAACTTTCTTCCGTCCAATTCAATAACATCTCCCTATCTTCAACAAATCAGCTTTCACCGGTTCACCCCTGTCCTTCTTGATCTCCGACAGCATGGCAGTATTGGAGCCAGAAGGCCATCGATCGGTTGACGTTTTGTGCTCGGGTAGCCACTGTGGTTGAGTACGTCGCGATCGATGGGGTCCGGTGGGGCTTGAAGAATCTCAATTCAGTAAAAAAACAAAAATTCTTGCGAACTTTACTATTCTCAATTCTTGAAACTCAAATATGACTATCTTGTGATGAACCAAAATTGCTAAATTCATGGAGTTTCTATGAGTTTAGCAAGAGGAAGGGAATTGTAATTACCATACACTCCAATTTCATACCCAAATTATTTGTCCCAACTACAGGAATTCCCCCAATGAAATAAAGTTAAAAAACAAAAAATCTGACCTTTGAATTTTGGCATTCCCCAACAAAATTCTTCTGTTGAGGGGACATTAATCATCAATTTTAAAAGAAGATTTTTTCCATTACAAATCTAATTTACAGCAAAACTTTCTTCTCGTAACTAAACCTTCAACTTTGCCAATTGTAGACCCAAGATTTGTATCCCTCTCAATCAGCCACACCAGACCACAAAAACTACTTAATCCATTTCCTTTACCTCCAAACTGTGCCATCGTCGAAGATTAAGATGGAAAGGGAAGGCGAACTGACGATTTAGTGAGAGAGTTCATAGAAGGGAAATGGAGATGTTATTGAAATTAAACTAAAAAAAGATAAAAGAGTTTTTGTTTTGATTTTTTAAAAGCAGTTTTCACCTTGTGATTTTAACTTTTCCTTTGAAGGGATTAAATATTTTAAATATAAATATTCATAATTATTAATCACTAAATTTCAACTATTAAATGTCAATTATTTCAAAAAAATGAAAAAATAAAAACTCCGAACAGCCTAATCACTGTCTCAAAGTTAACGGAGTAACCTTACCTTAGTTTGCAGTTCTTTGAAATTTAATATTTAGATGATCGGTAAGGATTTTTGTGGACGGGCCGTTGCACTGAAGAATTTTATGTCTTGGAACCTTTTGTTCTGTTGTTTCTTACACGAAAGAGGGAACACTAGATTTATTAACTTTACATATTTTTATTAACATAAAGTAGTTTATTAATTATATTACAAGTGGTACTCAAACACCGTACAAACCATCATAATTTCCCAGCTTAACAACATGTCCCAAACACAACACAAACTCTAACATATATAGCCACTCAAAACAGAGCTCTAAGTCCCAAACTGACCACAACATACATACACCACACCCTTCAACATTACAAAGGAGATATATATTACAAAGGAGAAAGTAGTTACACTGTGCCAGTGACATTACCATCTCCCCCTTTTTTAGTCTTTTTATAGATATCGAACAAGCAGATCAAACCCCCCACTACAAAAGGCAAAGCACCTGCCGTCAAAACATATCGAAACCTCACAGAGTCATCACTTGGAGTAACGGCAGAGATTGCAGATGCATAAGTTACTAACATGGCAACCGTCGCTATTACTATAAAAAAGTAGTAAAAACGGAATTTTTTTCGTCTGTCTATGAGAGAAATGATTACCAGGATCGACGTACAAAGACCGATTGTATTGGAGATCAAGAACACATAGAACGCTGGAGGTTGAGATGCATAAATTGCCTTTCCAGCTTCAGCGTTAGCACCTTTGCGAGGATCAATTGCTGTTCTATTGTTGCCTTCTGGCCCTTCTCCACCTTCCTGCCATACCCCACCGGGTGGATTGACCCCCGCTTGGAAAGTCACGGCAGCGATCAGCGTGGCTATCACCAGGAGAGCGTTCCGGTGGTACTCGTCATCAACTTTCTGGTTCTTGGCATCAACATTCTGGTTCTCGGCACCTCCAGGCGGGACCCAGCCCTTGCTTTTCGGCCCTGTCGCTGCCGTCGTGGCCATGTTCTTGGATTGTGTCTCAAGAGCCTTGCCATTTCTTTCCTTGCCGTAGGTTTAAATAGAAATGGGGCAATTCTATAGTGCCCACAAAATTATGAACTTACAATTATGCGATGATGTTAAATAAATTTTTTTTATTAATTATTATTTATTTTAAATAAATTTAATTTAATGTTTTAATTTCTGTGCATAAATTTTAAATAAAAATTGAATAATTTATATGAATAATAATTAATGTTTTATAAAAAGTTTTTATTGAGTATTATAATTTGAATTAAATATTTTTAATTATCATTTATATAATATATTAAATTTTTATTTAAAATTTTTATTCAAAAATTAAAAAATTAAATTAAATATATTAAAAATAAATAAATGAGTAATATAA